GAAGGAAAAATTAATGAAGATAGTGAGGTAAATGACTAAACTTATAACTCTAAAATTCTTTATTAGAACCTTTTTTGTTATAGCAGATTGATGGGTTTAACAAGACATTATACTGTTAAACATATAGTATGATCAGTGGCGTAACTATACCGTTCGGGGCCTGTGGCTAATTCATCACGTCGGCACCTTAAAAAACCGAGCAGTTCAGATGAAAACCTCTGAACGAGGCCCCTTACAGCTGGGAGCAGCATGATATAATAATGGAAAATGTCTTCATTATTAGTTAGAATTACTTATGTTTAAGTACCGATGTAACAAAAATTAAAAATTGCATTTTTATGCAAGGAATATGTTTATGATTCTGTTAATTTTGGTTTCTGTTAACTTCCAGGCGCTGCTGATGATTAAAACGAGAACAACACAAGTGGACAAACTGACAGAGTTTGTTCGCACCAACCATCCTTACTCTGTCTGCGAAGTAATCTCACTGCCAATCAAGAATGGAAACCCTCCATATTTGAAATGGATTGGAGATACAGTCCCTGAGAATTAGTATGGGATTTATTTATAATGTCACAACATTTTAGATAGATTATTTCAGAATATTCAGTGTTCTTGATATAGTCATACAGGCTAAGATTCGAAAAGACTTGTTTCAAAATGATAGCTTTGAATTCTTATGGTGGAGTAGACCATGTCACATCAATTTCATTACACTATATTTAAAGCAATATGAACAATTATTTTGAAATGGCTAGTGATATTTGTATTCATAGATAATTTTGCATGATTATAAAAATGACTAGCTTCTGCTCGCAATCCCGTTTTCTCCCGTTCCCGTAGGATTTTTAGGAAATTTTTCTGTCATAAGAAACTTCTCCTGACAATAACAAACACAACCAAAAAAAAATCAGCCGAATCGGTCTAGCCGTTCTCAAGTTATGGCGTGACTGCGGGAAATGGGTTTCATTTATATATATATATATATATATATATATAGATTAATTGCATTTATTATGGTTAGTAGATAATTGCAACAATTTCAAAAGTTGTTGCTTCTCCTTGCGTCACAGCAATTTCTAAACAATTAATTTAGTAAGCCTATAAACTACTTTTGTAAAAAATGACAAAATATGGTTTTAAAAACAATGTTTGTGTGATTTTAACTTCTAAGTCAAATATGTAATTTGTTAGTTTAAGGAAAATATATGATTTTAAAGAAAATTTATATTTTTTTCTAACACCAATCTATGTTGTACATTGTAGGAAGTACTGCCAAGATCTCCAAGTATGAGATGGAATTCAGAAGTTTTGGTTGTCTAATTAGAACTTAAGATGAACTCCTCCCTGCTAAAAATTGTAAGCCATCATTAAGTATCTTATTCTTAAATACTTTGGCCACAAAATATCGTTGTTTATAAGCCTCATGTCTTTGTGACGGTACAGCAAAGGTGTACCTACTTAAACTACAGCACTTTCACCAGTTACTGGAGTTCGATTTTAATTTAGATGTACGGAGATTCTATCTCTATGTATCGATTATTAAAATCGACCGATCTTACCCGATCCTATGTCTTGAGAAATTGTCTACTTACGATTTTGTTTTTTATTGATGCATTATGAAATATCTTCGTCATCCCGGTAAGTATCCAATTATATATTTCGCTCCTAGAAAAGTTTAAATCAACAAGCAAATAGTAACCTTGTACCTAGAAATCAATTAAACAAACTGCACACACTGACAAACGAATAGCAACATTTCACTTTTATGTAACATTTAAGTTATTGAATAACCTAGTATTTACAGGGGTTACAAAAATTCAACTGCATACAAATTACTGATGTGTTTATCTTTTATCTACGATCTATGGTGCAAGTTGGAATGGAGCCAGCAACCTGTTACTGTCACAAACATAAGACCCAGTAAGCAGGTGCATTATACTTAGCCAACTAAGAAGTGTTCTCTAAAACAAAAGTAGATACCTACCTATTCCGGAGCTACGGAAGACCTATCGAGTTACCGGGACTCCGGCTCGGAGCAGGAGTATCTACGAACGTGGTGATTTTTATTCAGTGTCTGACCCAAGGCGGGAGAATTAACTGGATGATGTTCCCCTCTCAAAAAAAGCTAGTGAGCTGCAGTGAAGTCTGTAACTAACTACATAGGTAAACTAGGTAGGTATTCTACACTCATCTAGCATTTACTTATTGCTTGTAATGGGTGCTCACAATTATTGTGCTTACCTATACCTAATAGGTAGACCTGGCACCGACTTGCCGTTACTGTAACTGTCTTGGAGAGTACCTACCTACACACTTCCCAATCAAAAGAAATTCAAATCTCAAGTAGGTATTCAGATACTACCAGAATAGGACTTGCCTATCACTTGCTACTTTTAAGAAATGGCTACATAAATGATTTCTTAGGAAAGTAGTTGCATACAGTCATTTTGCACGTGATTTTTCAATAAGATAACAAGGCTGAACATTCATTCCTACCTACTCGGTTAACAGAGTAACTGCTGGGATTCTTAGTGACCATTGATGTTCAATCAAATCGTTTAAATTAAACTACCTAAATGGGTTTTCCTTTGACACAATCACGTGCACGCTGCAAATTGGGTTAGGTAAGTATTTATATTTTTCGTAGAACGGCATGACGATGTTTATTGTGCCGGATCATAAATGGCTGTGGTTGGATATGAAGAGCTGAATCAAAGTTAGTAGTATGCTATTGAAGAGGCCTGTCCCCAGGAGTACGGTGGCCAACAGGCCAATCTATCCTTTTGTGTCAAACCTATTACATCTTCAACTTTATTGTATTGGCATAAAGTCGAAAATCCAATTAATTAATTTGATGAATCCAGATTGGAGGAGGATGATATGCTGGCTATTTTAAATAGGATAAGGCAAGCAAAACCTTTCAAAACCTATGCAACTCCTGTGTGTGTGTATAGTAAGTAAATACAACAATGAAAACACCGGAACACTGAAGTATAGCTCGTCACACGTATGTGTACCTACATGAATAACTGTCTTTGTTCCCTCAAAGGAATAAATCACAAGATATCAAGTAGGTACCTACCTACTATAAAAAGAAGCTGATGATGATTAAGTACCTAAATAATAAGTACATACACAACCCTTTTTTCTTAAAATTATTGTTCGAATTCTTAAAGATTACTAAGTTTCAAACTAAGTAAAATACCTACCTGTAATATTCTCCAAGCCGGCACCTATGTTGTACCGCCCAATTTTCGCCAAATAGGGATAGGAACTATACCTACTGTTCCTACAACTATATAAGGTAGAAAAATAATTATTATTTTATAACCAACATAAATTCAATAAAACTTAATTGTGAAGGATGATCAATTTTTCGACTCGTTTTTTATGATTTTAAACCACGTAGCCACTAGCACACCACAAACCACTAGCCACAAAAAGCGGATAGTAGCGTACATAAACAGTCTACTGGTCAACATACGCACATAGGCCTTATCCAAAGCATTTTTTATGAAAAGGTATACGGACGGACCACAAAACAATTTGTATACCTAACCGATAACGTTACATTCACGCAATTATGAAGTTATCGCGCACGGGTAGGTCAAACCTCTTGTAGAAGTTAATAAATTTATAAAAATAAGTAGGTACTTCACTTCTTGGTGAGATAAAGTGTAAGTAAATGTATGTTAATAGCACGGAACTATAGGGCAGCCCGCGTTTGGCAAATATTTCTTTCTCCATAGAGTTACTACCAATCCATATGCAATATTTATGCCACCCATTTGGCAACGAACATTAATATGCAATGTGCCCCCAACTTGCCATTGTACAATATTCAGAGCATCCTAGCCTGTACTAGTTATCAAGTTTTTGTCTATTTGGCGGTATGCCAAGCTGTGGGTGGTTTGCCTTGTGATAATGTAAGTAATTACAAATTAACCTCTCCTTGCCTGAAACTAGACAGAGACTATTTATTTTGATGATCATTATTTTGGATACTTATATTGTGAATGTACTTTACTCTTTTTTCACCAAAAAACATGAGAACACTTAAAGCTTATTTTTTGACATCACCAACTGATACAGCCTACAATAAATCTAATTATTTATGTAAGCAGTCGTCTCAGTAACTATATTTGGAACCAAACAACGTGATAAATAATTCGACGGAAATACCTTCGCGATCCAGTCAGTGTTCTGTTCAGTGTCAGAACATTTAATTTTAAATATGTGACAGTATTAAACTTTCTCACTGGGTTCTCTTACGTAACGTGTAATACATCTTTGTTACAAAAAACTACCATTATCTACTAATTGCCTCATTTATATTAACTGGAAACGTACATAAAACATAGACCGTGTGTAACAAAGAAAAGACAAATGGGTACTTTTGGAACGAAACCGAACACATCTTCGGTCGCATTTCGCTCGACCAATCGTAGCGCCCGTAGACGTCTACGAGTTTCGTAGCGCCCGCTGACGCAGTAGGGCGGCGTAGCACTACGCTTATCGGGACACAGCCTGAATACATTGACCTTTGTTAAAATCGCCAAAATTCAGTTTCAATTAGGTACGTTATACAGTTAGAAGCGAAATAAAAGTACTCGTGTGTCGGCGACGCGTGGGATCGGACGTACCTCATGTAAGAGCAGTTTTGTTATGGCATCAATAAAAATCTTTACGGAAACATCTGCAGTCATAAAAGCTGTCGTATCGGTTTCGGCGATGCTTATGGATCGCTACGAAGAGTGAGGCTGAATCAGTTGGCGTCGAGGATCGGAGGCGAGAAGGTGGTGAACGGGGTGGAAGGATGGTCATGGTTCCGAGGGGTCGGTAGTGCAGTGCGGCACGCGCCGGCGCGGATCGATCGCGCGACATCGACCGCGCGGGGCGGGGCGCCGTCGCTCAGTCGCGCGCGGGCACGGCGTGCGGGCGCGCGCATCGCTGCACGTGCATGGCGCGCCTGACTGGATGCCTCGCGCCCTCGGGGAATGGCTTCGTCCGAGGAAGAGGCGACTACAGCGTCGACCGACACTTATCCTGAAGATGATGACTGCCTCAGTGTACGAAAATGGTGGTGCTTTCTGCTGTCGTCGATTTTCACCTTCCTTGCGGGGTTGCTCGTGGTGCTGTTATGGCGCGCGTGCGCGTTTGTCTGCTGCCACAAGGAGCCGGAGCTGGCACCCAACGACCCCAAGCAGAAGGAGCAGAAGGCGGCGCGGCAGGGCAAACAAGAGTTCGAGGGCACGTTCATGACCGAAGCGAAAGACTGGGCCGGCGAACTCATATCCGGTCAGACCACCACCGGACGAATACTGGTAAGTACACCTTCATATCTCCAACCTGCGACCAGTTGTCAGGATTACACTCTGAGGTTACCTAATTCTGACCATCCCTCTCAATATTTCACAAATGTTCGCTAGGTGGTAGTACTTAAATATTAATTCGTGTGGTAATCTGCCTGAAAATCTAAGTGTTTTGAAGTAAGCATGATGTCTGTGATACACACACAGACACCTGTCTTAGATAAAGACGTGTAAATTAATTGATGATTGACGAAATAATAATATGTCATTAATGAGGGCTCATCGATTGCTTTCATCATTAAGATTAGAAGCCCCTGTCGTCGCATCAATTAAAGCGGGTATATTGACATGTAGGTATCGTTCTTATTAAGTATTGTAGGTAAAACGGTACAAATAAGCAACACTTTGAACTACGATTGATAATGCAGGTAAACAAAGTGCTGTTCTATCTTAGTTTTCATATTACTCAAATAAATCCTATGTATGTATAACCTTCATATATTGTTTATTTATTATATGTAAGCATTTTGATCAGTTTATTATTTGAGGCCTACCCACATGGTTAAAATAATATCATTAATATAACTATTGTATGGGTAATGCAGGTTTAATCCGCAAACGTAAACCTCATTTTAGCAAATCAATTTCCAAAATTAGTGTAATCGTAAAATTATTTACTCACGAACGTAGTGGGAATACCATGCATCCCTCTACTCAATTAAGTGGCAATATAAAAATAATGCTGAACATTAACCCAAATCTGTCTGGTTGGCCCACACCCCTACACTGGATAGATCACCAATGTCATGCCATGACGTCACAGAACCAACCTTGTACGAGTTTGTATCAATATTAGCCGTTTAATATTAACAGTTCAATAAATATTTAATTGGGAGCGTGTTTACTATGTTTCATCAGCTTAATTCATAACTAAGTCTAAGTAAAAGGGTACTTACCTTTAAGCTACATTATCAAATAACTAATACCTAAGAATTTATATCCTTACCTTGCTAGGATAGAGGACTTCGAGACTATACTTCTAAAACCCTTAAACTATCTACCACCTGCTATAACTCTTACCACTGGCTTCCTGTGGTGTCTACATAAACAAATGACTGCAGGTAGGTACTCATCGCCGATGGCCGTAATAAAAATGACAACGCTAAACACTTTGCATACAATTACTTTACCAATAAATAGCAATAGCATACTACACATACACACAACATCACGCCTTTTATCCCCAAAGAGGTAGGCAGAGGTGCACATTATTGCAGTTAGTGCCACTGTACAATATAACACCCAATTTTCACTATTCATGTGAAATAGGGGTCCCATGGAATAGGGGGTGGACCTATTGCTATATACTGGGCGCAATTCCAGACCAAACCTAACCCAGTAGTATTTTGTCCGACCGAATCGAACCCGAGACCCCTTGCCCGGTAGTCACACTTACGACCACTTAGCCAACGCGGCAGTTATAGCAATATTAACACTTTAAATGTACGGAAGCAAACAAGAGATTATTCTCATTATACAATTTCTCAATTAAATAAGTTAAGTTTCGACTTAGATGCGATATATAGAGACTCTTATTGACATTACGAATCACTATAGATCTGAAGTAGTTCAGTATAGGTACTTTTCCTTTCAATATAAGTTTGCGACATGTATTTGCGACTACATATTAGGAGGTGAACAAAATCAAGTGTTCCAATAAATAGGTAGTTGTAGATCATATACAGAAACAACGTTTGTTTTTAGATTATGCAAGATTGTTCCCCCTTGTATATAAAACAGTCTGTTTGGTTAACCAATCGATACGGACCTTTGGTAATGATTACTGGGCCCTTTCAAAGGACTCAGAAGGTCCCTAATCTGTTAACGCTTCTTAAAGATAAAAGGGTCGTCTATGCTAAGGTATGATTTACTTACTAAGGGCAAGGTAAGGAGTATGACGAAAGAGAATCATCAAATATTCCTTATTTTTTACCTTTTTCGTTAGGTACTTGTTTAAATGGGATTTTTTTGCTCCCCTTAATTGTTGTTCTACAAAAAACCTGTGGAGGTGAAACAAAAACCTATGTCTGAGTATTTTCAAACGGATCAAGTAAATAAATACCTATGTACCGTTGTCCGTACAGTCACAAGGAAAACAAGCCTTAAGTATTAGTAATTTTAAAAAAAATAATTATTAAAAATATGTACTGGTATTTGGAACTGATTTTTGTAGTATGAATTCTATTAACATTTAAAAACAGGACTATTTAAAAATAAAACTAACTTTAATTTATTGTTACCTAAGTCTAGTTTATGTTATACCTACATGCAAAACTAAAAACAAAACAAGTAGTTTTTAGTTTTATTTTTCATATAATGTTTTAATATTGTCCTAATCCATATCGTTACGTAACGCCGGTATAATTAAAACATTTAATTATTTAAAAATAAGTAATTTCTTATTTTTATCGAAGTGTTTTATTTAGGTAACTAACTAACATGATATGACCCAAATAAGTGTAACTTGGTAGGTTCTATAATATTAGTAACTCAGTTACGATATAAGAATCATTAAAGACCCCCTAGGCTTTTGCCTGTGACTTCACACGCGATAAATTCGGACTATCAACTTTCCACTAAAATTACGGTAGGTATCTTTTCAAACAACCGCATCAAAATCTGTTGCACAATTTTAAAGCTCTACACATACAAATGGACAGACAGCGGGAAGCGACTTTGTTTTACACTATAGTGATATAATGTCAGTATCAGTACAACAATTAATAATAATTTGATGTCGGTAAAAGTAACTCAGGATAATCTGGTTTATTTTTTAATGGTAGCTTCTTTCTTTTTAACGTACATATTGTAATACCTAGTAATAAAGTAGGTAGTCCCTACATCTTTATTTGCCCACCTATGTTAAGTTAATAATCAATAGGTATAAATTACTTTTATAATTAACGAATGTTTGCCACTTATTCTAGACTCGTTGATAAAAATAGATAATATATTATGCACTTTGACGTCTTATGTATTTAAAGTATTATTTTGTAACATAATTATTCGATTAAATATTTAAAATATTATTTCAGCTATACACACAGAAAAGCGTTTTAAAAAAACACAATAATGAGAAAGCTCAGTTCATAAAATTCCTTTTAATTGAATAAAACATTTACAATAACAATACGAAAGACACTAAGACTGTCTTCAAATTTTAATAATCTATATTGAGTAACGAACCGATGAACATGGACAATCCATTTTAGATACTTACTTGCTCCTAATTACGCATTCTTTGCTACCGAAACTACCACGTATGAACAGACCGAATAAATTAACACTGTATGAATCACTCTAGTGATCTAATACTCGTAAAATCTCAACATAATAAGATTACCACGCTGTTCACGAATTACAAGTATTCTTACTAACCATACTATCTTGCTAAAATTAAGTATAGGTATCTAAATGCGAAAATTTCTGAATTTGTGTGTATATTTCTAACTCAATCACGTCACGCTGATTTTCCTTCACCGCTGTCTAAATAATCTTAGAAAGTACATATAACTCGGAAAAAGTCATATTGGTATTTGACGTTAGTAGGTTTCGAACCTGCACCCTCATGCATGAGAAGCGGGCGTCTTAAACCTCCGGGCCACCACGACACTAAAATAATACATACGATACTTTATATCTCACGGGAACCCGGTCAAAGCCACGGGCAGAAACTAGTTATACGTAAATGCAAAAGCTTGTAAGTTTGCGTGTGTTTGTTACTTAATCACATCTAAATGACTGAAGAGATCCGGATGAATTTTGTAACCGGGGTAGATTATAATTTGGAATAACACATAGGCTACTTTTTATCAGATGGGAACGCGGGCAAACCCGCCTACAGAAACTAGTAGGTGTATAATGTATACCTAAGACAGTAAGGACTGCACTCTGTGTTACTCACACCAGTAAATCTAGGCTAGCAAGCCGTTGATCTCCAAATTCTGTGCGATTGATGAGATGAGTAATATTATAGGAAATAGATATGAATGTACTGTATATCATGTCTACTGCACTACTTACCTTTCTAGGGCCGAAACTCGTCTAGATTTAATAATACGTGTTTACATAAATTATCCCAGTACCCATACGTAAACGTATTGAAAAATTATTCTATACAAGATCATTATTGAAAGCTATACTGGTATATTTACAACATTTCTCCATAATATCTCAATATTATCTATGCTCAAATATATATATCGATGCTCAAAGGAAATGTTAATATTACCTAATATTAGAGGTATATGTATAAGTAACTGCACTCCAACTATTGCTTCTTGCGGATTTTAACAGGTTTCTATATAAACCTGTAAAAAATAACCGAATAGACTCAAAATGAAATTTTAGCTACCGTAGCAGCAAACCCATACCGTAAAACAGCTTCTCAAAAATAGCTTCTAATGTATTGTACCTATCCATAAAGTACACTATATACTGCAACGTATCTAACATGATATAAATTGCATTTCCTAGCAAAGAAGTCGAATAATTAATAGGTGCAAATCAGAAGCCAGCTGTTTGTAAAATATTAGTTGAATGTCATCCTCACCACAGTCCTAATTTACTGGCATTTGATGCTACCGATGTATGCCAATACCATCTGTATTCTAGACCAACTTTTGAAATATATATGGATGACGATTTTACAGCTCTTTTCTATTATTTAAATACCATGCCACTGTACAATGTAACACCCACTTTTCACTATTTATGTTATGAGTCCCATGTAATCGGGGGTGAGCCTATAGCCATATACCGGGCACAATTCCAGACTCCGTGCTACTACTGAGATTTTTTTTAAATACCCACCATATTTTTTCCGACGCGGTAATCGAACCCGAGATCCCTTACCCGGCAGTCGCACTTGCGACTACTCGGCTAACGAGGCAGTCTTTATACTTTAAGTACAGAAATTAGTTAATATTTCTATAGTTGTAAGTCATCTTTGG